ATAGTGTTTAGGCACCTTAAATAATCCCTTATTTTCCAGATGTCTTATATTCATATTTAGATTTATGTACCACCCCAAAATGACCCCTGGTCCCACCCTGGCCACCCCACTGAAAGGTTTCTGGCTCTGCCACTGCCGCTGTGCAATTATCCATCCATCCATCCATTCATTTACACACATACACAATCACAGTTTATGGGCAATTAGAGAGACAAATTATCGTAACTGCACGTCTTTCAACTGGAGACCAAAGTCCCCAGGGGAAAAAATCGGCATGACATTGGCGTGACACAGAGCAGAGGGAAAATGGCAACCCCCCCCCCCAACTCTGCAGGCGGATGTAAGAGTACCCGCCACTGTGCAGCCCTTTATTCTTATTATTTCAATGCATATTTACTTTGCAGCAAATGCCATGAATGCTTCTGGATATTAGCTGCAGTGGTAGCCTGAATTAGACAGTAACACTGGATTCCTAACAAATACAACCCTGCCAGAATGATAAGTATCAAAGCCATTATTATTATTAATAAGAATATTATTGTATTACTACTATTATTATTACTGTACAGATTTAGACATTTTTACAATTTTATTACAGACTGATATATGTGCTCGAAAACAGCACTGAACTTTTAAAAGCGTTTTTGTATGAAATGATACTCTACCCATGTCCCACCCTGCCCCTCCTGCCAGAATGGCCCCCCAGGTGTCTCTGTCATCATGTTTATTAGCTTCATCACATATTCCTGCCCCCCAGTTAATTACTCCCAGCTGTTGTGTGTTAGGTCCAGTGTTCCCCGTGTATATAAGTGTTCCCTAGTCCTGTGCTCACTAGTCTGGTCATCGTTCCGTGCTTCTGTGCTTGTGCTATCTTCCTGAATAAACTCCTCTACCCGCGGTTTGCATTGTGAGTCGTCCTTTCCCTGCGTACGTGACAATCCATGTACTGTATATGACAATAATAAAAATATCAGTACCAAGCTACTATAAGATCCATAAAAGACCCTTACTTATGATAAAAATTGGAGAGCTTTAAAAATAAATATAATGGTGTCAGTTTTTTGGATGATGGTTTAGACCATATATTGTAAATTTCATTCCTGCCCTAGAAATAGCACAACACATGATTAAAATGATTAAATTCCATTAGCTATCATATCATTCTCTATCATATCATATCAGCATATCATTCTCCATCACTGAGACATTAATTACCTTAATGCAAACTCATGGGCATTAGAGAAATTTGCTGCTCTGATGGAAGATACAGAATACATTGAAAATTTATGCTCACGAAAATATATTTTAGCAGCTGTCAAATATAGATATAAAATAAGTGTGTACTTTACTAAATGGTCTGCTCTACAGTATTATTTATTTTAAAAAAATTAAATCCAATTAATATTGTAGTTCACAATTTCCCTGATTTATTCAGTAGTGAATTACCATGTGATGGTATTAGACACAAAGACAATAATGCGATGGAAATAAAAACATTTTACTCTAGTACAATATCAATACTATTGGACTTTAAAGCCTTGAAGCTCAAACATTGATTTTAATATTAATAGTACTCCATCATCTGCATGCATTAGGTTGTCAAAATAATAATTACATGCCCCTTATCAAAGTAGTGGTCAGTTTTCCAGCTTATTAATACACTGAAAGTGAACAATAGCGATGTCAACATATTCATCATATTTGATGTCACTGTGTTTTACAGCCATGGGCTTTACAATATAAATTTCCAAAATCAGGGACACATATTTACATGGGGTTTATAATGTAGCAGTATACATTATATATAAACATAATGCTGTTTGTAGTACGAATATGAATGTTGCAATAAAATGCATCAATTTTATTCCACAAAACATGTAGGATGGGTTAGAAAAAGCTATAAATACAATTGTAGCTGTGATATGAATGTTGCAATAAAATGCATCCTTTTTATTCCACAAAACATATAGAATGGGTTAGAAAAAAGCCCTTGGCCCTTACATGTCAAACAAAACTTAACTATTATTACTTGACTTCCACTAAATTGCTTTCACTGTGTTACATATAGTTCTGAGAATAAATTTGTGACCTTTTACATTTTTCATTTTTTCAAATACCTTTGTAATTGATCTAAAATGTGACCTGGTCATCACTTAAGTTGTTAAACTGATTGAGATTCTAGCTGAACATCTGATCGGACACTGAACACAATACCCCGAAGGCTACAGTCTTGACCATTATGCTGCCGCACCTCCATTCTCACACAAAACAAGACATGAAAAAGGACTTTTCTTCATGCAGACATGCAACATTCACTGCAAATTAATGTGAAGATTAACGTCAACATCTGCATTAACAGGAACTCTAAAAATACAAACATTATTAAGATGAACAAAATCTTTGAATTAGCTGATCAGTGGTCATTGTTAACACACCACATAGTGCGCAACAACGAAATGTGTCCTCTGCATTTAACCCATATGTGACTTTCGTGACAAGTGCGCTTCCCTAACCATCAAGCCACCACTGCCCAGGTAGGTAGGTAGAGTGGAAACCAATAGGGGAACTTCACTATCCCACTCTGGGAGAAGACTCACAGTTGTTTTATACAAAATATCACTGTCACGCCTCCAGGGGCGGGGCTGCGCAGCAACCAGCAATTACTGCAATCAGGACAAGCTACTTAACCCCAACGCAAGCACCCAGAACTTGCGAAGTATTGTTGCCATGCATATGCCACTTACTGAGCGTTTCTCTGTCTTGTCGCTTGCCCTCCTGTCTTCTCGTATCCTGCCGTCCTGCCTGCCCTGTCTTCCTGGTCGTTCCTGCATGCCTACCTGATCCTGCCTGCACCGCTTGCCTTCCCTGCTCCATCGTCCTGGTCTGCCTTCGTTCTCCTGCCCGTCCCATCGTCTCTTCGTCTCGTCCGTATTTGTAGGATTGACCGACTCGGCTTCCGACCTCCCGCGATCGCCACGACTATCCGCTTGTCTCATCCCTTTGGCTTTTGGTGCACCCGGTTTTATATTAAAGAACCCATTCTCCTGCATTCCGGGGTCTGCCTGATCTCTGGTCGCCTATTATCACACTCACAATATACAGCATCATTAAGTAGTACTTACTGAGCTATTCATTGGATATTCACATAAAAAAAATTTTGGGAAAAATTGCTTTTAGGTAGGTGACGTTTAACAGGTGTTTTCGAAGCTGGACAGCAAGTCGAATAAGGAAGTTCTCGCAAAAAGAAAGGGCACCATGTTATGAGCATCAAACAACTGCAGCATTTTATTATTTTTTTTAAAATATTTTTTATTCGGCTGGTTTTATTTTACAGTAAAATAGAGTCAATAATAAATGTCAGATTCAATACAAAAACAATGTTATAATACATTACGGAAAGAAATGGTGGCTTTGAGATTGTAAAAAGATCCACGTTAACCTTTGCTTAGGGATTCAACCTGATCTGAAGTCTTCCTTGTGGTAATTTAATCCATTCAGCTCTGACAAAACCACACCTAGCCTCATCTGTTAGGGCTCTCGGTGGGCCAGAGGGCAGGTGATTATCCTCAGGCAGTTCCACGACCCCTCACTGGCTGGCAGAGTAATCATATCACCGTTGGGCCTGTGAGCATTGCCCTTAACTCTAATCGCTCCAGGGGCACCTGCTTCAGGCTGACCTACTGGTCTCATGTCCCAAAAGGTGCCATTACCCATATATACATTACTGTCTCTTTGTCACATAGAGTGCATGATGGGCTGTGTCAATGCTAACCAATTTGCCCATAGGGATTAATATTCTATTCTATTCTATTGCTGTGTAGTTTATATAATTCTCTCATGACTCTCTAATGAAATTAGTGTTTTTCTCAAGGGGATTAAAATCTACCCAATAACTTTGACTGTTTGTCAAAAACATTAAAGCAGCATATCTAGCATCAGTATTGATGAAATTTCTCTGCCCTGTGGTTGGGGGAACCAAAGAAAAGGTACCATGCTGGAGCTGGTATGCTGATAAACTGGTCACGTTGGAGGTGGTATGCTGGTATGCTGGTTTGCTGCTATGCTGAAGTTGAAGAAGGCAATGTTCCATGTTCAGAAACTCACTTTAATAGAGTTATATAGATTTTTAGTCAATTATTTTCATCTGTAAAGCTCTTTCATTAGGTAGCCTAAATTGTATGTCTCGAGTCAGGGTGACACAACTGTACTCCAAACACAACCAGTGGCTTGGCCTACTTGAATATGTATGTAAAGAGTTTATTCAATAGGGAATATGGTTTTAAGTATTTTGGTCAGGGTTAATAGCACTGTGGCTTCATCTCCACCCAAGGGGGGGGGGTTGTGTTCTGACTGGACAAGTGTGTGTGCGTGGATTAGGTTTATATTACATTTCGTTCCCGTGATGTAATAAAAATCTGTTATTGTTGTTTTTTTTGACATTGTGGTTAAGGTTGGGCCTGGGTAGGGGTTAAGGTCCTCATGTTCGGATTAGTGTTTTCCCCTTATAAATGAATGGAGAGTCCCCAGAAAGATATAATTACAAACCTCTGTGTGTGTCTGTGTGTGAATAGGTACAGTGACTCCTACAATGCTCTCTGTGCCTGTCCGGATAAGCTCTGCCTCACCACCACGACCTCTTAAGGATAAAACGACGAGCGATAGCCGGCCAGTTGAGAGCATTAATCTATAAATTTATATGGGTTTGTTATTTGAAAGATTACCCCATGGAGCTTCTCAGGGCAATAATGAACTTCAGTTGCCTCAATGAATTCCCTTTCTTTGACTGACAGGGCATCTGCTTTAAAAGAGAAAGAAAAGAAAAAAGGCAGCACACATCCAAGCGAGTTCGTGTCAGTTCAAGCGAAAGCTTATACAAGGCGTATCAAAGCCACGTCTCAGACTCCTCACAGCAGCAAGTGACATTGACTTAAAAAAAAACAAAAAAAAAAAAAACACTGAGCTGCTGCAACCCTAAAATCAAAAGCTTAAAAGCACAACACATGCAGCATTTTATGCTAGTTCACTTTATGTTACTTTAATTGTGTGACTCGTAGTGATGCAAAACAATGTATGGCGTCGCAACCTTATTTTTTACACTGGTTGCAAAAGGGTGGATTTTTGAAACTGCACAGTATCCCCGGTAATTCATATAAAACGGAACACCTTAACTCACCGGTACCGACGCCGGGGGCGGGGGGTAGACGGATGTATTCCCGCCCATACACCTACGTTTTCTCCGCGCCCACTGGAGTACGCCATTGGTTTAACGGCGGCTGGTTAATGTGTTTCACACTGTAGCAGTCCCATTACGAGTTAGTGATGCAAGTTGGTTGTAGAGGATGCGCTGTGTCACTTGCTTTAACTAACAGAAAAGCAGAGAGAGAAGTTACAATAAGGTTCGGTCTTGGGGTTTCTCCATCAAGAGCAAGAGACTGCAGCGTCCTGTCAATTCACGACAATATCGCGGAAAACCCGTTATGCTCCGCAGCGACGGTAGCAGATGAACTGTGGGCGGCTGCAGATTTCGTTAGAGGAAGCCGACGATGGGACTGTTTACGGAGAGACTCTCCACCTGCCTGCGGATCCTTCTATTCCTTGATTTTTGTAGCCATCCAGTGACAGCTAAAGGTAGGAAAAGGGAAACGTGCTTTAAATTAAAGCAGGGTGCTCGTGTCTTGCTTAGGATTTTACGTTTACTCAGCCTATGTTTAGTTGGGTAATATTTTTCTGATATTGGATTAAATGAAATGATTTTAGAATGAAAACGTCTAAAAACTGGGAAAAAAGTTCGCGTACGTTTATTTAAGCGGGGCAAATACATAACCAGTACACTATTAAACACATTTCCCTATGTAGATGATTTGTTAAATAATTCCGAGTTTCCGAGTCATGAGTCGGCTACCGTATTATTATATTGTATTGTACTCTTTCTATTAAATGACAGTCAAGAAGTTTGTGCACAGCCTAGCAGTCTACGCGGTTATTTTGCAATGTGCCATTTGATCTTCAGATACCTTCCACTTTTTTGTGTTTGCCTGTCGAATGGGTCATATTTTTGTGCAAATTTCTCAGGATGAAATCTGATAAAGAAACCGAGGTCCACTGTTCTGCTTTCTTCCCCCATGTTCTGTCGTTGGACAAGTGTATAGCTGAAATTAAAGAACCAATTCTTAATGTAATTCCATTAGATGCAACAGGCGTCCTCACACTTAACGCTGAAATATTTGGTCACTGTATTTGGGATGCAGTTGTTTTCGCACTGATGTACCATCCAGATGTCGTAGGCTGTACCGTCAGGACCATTAAATGTTCTTCTCATTTAAACTGGATCGTACCTGTAAAAAGAAATAAGCAATTATGAAAACTCCTGTTTACTTTATTTAGCAATACAATATCGATCATACTAAATATGTATTAACCTTTCACCATTGTACTTATGCTTGTATTAATGCTTTGATTTTCCTTGATACGCTCGCAAAGCGCTCTCAGCAGTACCGCTATCAGCAAGTCTCTCTTTTATATGAATTCCGACGATAAAATTTAGGTTTGCATTAAAGCTACAGGTATATGCGATGAAACATACACGTACGTGCGTGTATGCAGTATGATAATAATAGGGAAATGTCTGTTAGTATATGTATATGTAGAAAAATATCCCCAGACATTCACACTTAAATATAATTACTTTTATGTTGTATATATGTGACTGTGCTCATTATCAGCCTTTTAAAGTAGCAGTGAATACACTGTACAGTTTTCAATACCTTGAAATACAGTTGCTAAAAACCCACACCAGGATATGTCTTTGCCCGTTTATTAGTTGGGCTGTGTCGTTTTCCTAGCCTGACATACTGCTGTGTTAAAGCAGAAATATCACTACAGGAGTAAATACCCCCAAGAGAGCAACAGAACAGCAGCCACAATCTGTGGATCACCCGCCTTTCCTCTCCTGTCTATGCAGACATTTGCTCTACCAACTGTAGAAAACAAAAAAAAGGTCTGTGTCAATATCTGCCTCACCCTGGGAAAATTAGCAATAAAGCTGTGATATCTGAGATGCCGCACAAAGCGAAAGAAAATGCCACACCTCATTTTATCTTTGCATTTTCCTCCCTCACCCCTGTAGCCTTTCAGCCTGTAGGGATGGAACTGCTTCCAACTGTCCACATAGTGAAGAGACCTTTAACTAAATAAAAATAAAGAATATGGGATGGTTCTATGTTACGAAGTTATATTCTTTAAGGTGTCGAGTTTTGTTGAATTATGGCTTCATGTCCACATTGCAACTGACTGGAAAGTGAAGGCATTTCAGACATAATTAGTAGGCTCCTGTCAATGCACCAAAAAGTCCTGGGGCATGAATATAGACTGGAGTCCAGGACTAAAATTAGGCTACTTACTGGCCAGAATGTGACAGTAAATGTCACATTTGTACACACTGTTTTTTTTTTCTTCCTTTTTTAAATGAAAGAACATTGGTTATCAAGAAGAGAGTGCAGTATTGTGGTTTCACGAACCTGAGGGTAATTCGTTAAAATCAGTTGAAAGTTCTTTGCTGTCATAAATTATACATTGTTCTGGGAAGAGAAACAATTTAAAACTGTACTGTTTCCTCTCTGTTTCCACATTTTCCTAAAATTCATTCCAGTTGGAGGTCATTTCAGGCCAGGGGATATTATTAGATGCTCCAGAATCAGCAGCAGCTAAAGCATCTGTCAGTCTATAGGAAGCAAGCAGTGCTTCATGATGCGACATACCGCAAGTATGCAGTATATGTAACAGCATTAAAAACAATGCATCGGCAAATTAATAAATTAAACATATGCATTTATAGATGATTTCATCCAGAATAATGTGTACACACCCTCGGAAGATCAAAATGTTCTTCAGGTACGTTTAGTTCCTCTAACAACTGAGGGAGCAGTATTAATATGCATATATCATACATGTAAATGCTTCATTGACACACAAATATCATACATGTAAATGCTTTTCTGCCTATGATAGCATCAGTACTTAAGACCTTATTGGCTGGTCCAGTACAACCAATGTACAGTGAAAGGAATTTACAGATCTTGTTTTGTTGCCTTAGGTGTCATTTTTGCAATATTTATAAATATATCGTTTAAATCTTTAAACACTGATTAAATTTGAAACACTGATTTTGATGTAAAACTAAATGTGCATCCTTTTCTGCCTACATATTCTAGATGTATTTTGCTTTGCTGACCGTAAATGGTTTACAAAGAAATGAAAAGAATGAGATGGGGAGGAAAACGGATAGGCTGTCATTACTGTCATCCATTTCATAAAGCTTCTGCCAACAATGAATCTGCATTCTGAAGACGTGAAGTTAGCCTTTCAGGCAACTTATGAATATAGGCCTTGTTGCATTTTCAAGATCTGTCATCAGTGCGCGTGGGAAACACGCATCTTTAGGTCGGCTTCTTTGAAACAAAATTAACTGCCCACCGCCTGAATCATTTATTTAAAGCATTTTATATTGAAAAGTGGTTGTTTGTATTTTATTCGAAAACTGTTTAAGCTGATAATAGTCTGGGGAAAAAGAAAAGAAAATCATTAGTTAAATGATAGTAAGAATGGACAATGGAGTTTACTTCTAAATTCCATCCTAACCCTGTAGAAATTTTCTTGGGTAACCCTTTCTCATTGTTTTGCAGTTTGGAAATGTGTACAATAAACATGCATGAAATGTTGAAAGTGCATATAATCACTACTGATACAAGCAGGTGCACTGTCAAGTTGCCTCTCTTTATGTCTTTTTTTGCATTTCTGGTACATAGTGAGTAAAATCCTCAGATTTTTATTGGACTTTCCTTCTGAGAATACCATGCTAGACAAAAGAGAGACGGCTAAGTGGATGATGGCTTTTTGCTAACCTCTTTGCACTAGTAGTGCTACTTTGGTACTACTACCGCTATACTCCTGCTACTGCTAATAGTACTACTACTAATAACACTTAATGAAAACATTTGAACATGTATGCCAAACACCATGTCTGCATGCTGTGCCTGTCAGACCACAGAGATTTCATTACTAAGGAGTTTTAACACGATAATGACAGTGAAATTGAAGACATGTGGAAAGGGGTCGTGTTCTGCATACCCTTGCACTTGCTAATAAGCATTTATCCTAATTTTACATAAAGCTACTAGCTCTCATTCTGGTTATTTAGCGTTGGCTAACAGGAGAATATTTTTTGCAAACAAAATGATGTGCATAAATAGGCAGTCGCTTGAGTTTTCCACTGCAGTCTCAAAACGTTTACCTGCAGTACAGCTGAAATATTTTGTCTGTGAAAATCTACCTGCATTTTTAGGATATTGAACCTTTCATTGCTTTTGAAGCATGAATCACTGTCTTTTGCAATTATTGTGTATATAACAATGTATTTTAGTTCTTTCTGCTCCCAAGCAAACTCAAACCTGAATATTATTGAAAAAATAATAAATAACCATTTATTTGAATAATTATTTGGCTATTTGACCCTTTAGAGTTGCTAAACCAAACAGAAATCTTGCCAAACCGTTTAAAAAAAAAACTCCACCAGTTTATATAGTTAAGAACTAGATATATTTTTCTAGCTTTGTAAGGAGAATAAAAAGAACAAGAGTGACTGACTCGAGAGTCTGAGTCTTGAAGCAGCGCTGATTGCTCATGCATTTTCAAATAGCGCTATTCATATGATAACGATACGATAATCCTGCGGTTGTTACTAGGTCAAGGAAACGCGTGAAAACTCCCAAAAACATGAGCACATGTCTGGGTTTTGTTCACACTGATTGGGGAGTTTCAACCTTTTATTTTGTGATGTAAGAGTTATCACTGAGGAAATTAGTCACATAGATAATTGCAAATTCGGATAAGCAGTGACTTTGTAAATTACAAAATTTAACTTGTTTTCTAATTTTGATCGTTACTGTAAAAACTTGTCTTTATAAATATATACAAACTGTTGTTCCTTTAGTGTTTTTCACTACCTTTATGAGACTTTTTTGCAAGTATAAGACTATAAATTGTTTTATTTAACTTATTGTTTCTCAAAATACATGTCGTAAAATAGCTCAAAATAGTATGGATGGTATTTGCTGAGAATTATGTAAAATAGCACTAAAAAGACTTGTATGGCTGCAAGTTTCTCTTTTATTTAGCTTATCTAGTTTTTCTCAATTTCAACCCTTTTCCTACAGTCCAGATGATTCTGACATGGATTTAGTCTGTAATTGTGTGAGTGAATATTAGGGAGCAACTGAAATTTTGGCTCCGGTACTAATACAGACTTTAAGGGGCTAAAAATTCAGCCTTAAAGTTATCCCTTAAAATAGAACGACCTAACAGTAGCATGGCCCTCAGGGAAAATTAATCACAAGGTGAGTAACCATGGGTGGGACGGCTTTGCCAGTGGAAATCACAATGGGAGTGTTCTGGAATGTTAGGGTACAGGATGTGGATATCATTTTATATAGCCAGAAATTAAACAGGTACGATAGCATTAGCTAAACGATGATCTACTGACTTACATGATTATGTCAAACAGCAATTTGTTTTTAAAACTAATGTACTTTACAAATTAGTTGTATTCAAACACAAGAAAAATACAATAGCAT